AAGCATCAAAAGTGACTGGGATATCACCTAACGAGCCTCTGGTTTTGTTTATGACTATATCAGTACAATGGAGTTCAAGAGCCATACTTGTCCTAGGGATCCCTAAAGTGTGGCTTGCGTCTGTCTGAAACACTCAATTGTATGAAGTATGCACCAACTTTAGCTGATTAGTACCAGAAATGGGCACATTCAGTTTGTTTGTTTTTGTATCAGAATAGAGTGTCCACTGCATGACAGACACTCACCCAGAAATTGTTCATGTCGTTATTAACAGAGTACAATGCCCTGCTTGCTCCCTCTTAGAGTTAATGCTAAGGTACATGTAAACATTAATAATTCAACATAAACATGATCAAAATATATTTTATGAAGACATTTTAATATAAAAATGAAATATAAACATATATATATATATATGTATATGTATGTATTTCAATATAAGGATCTCAGCATTAAGTTCTGAATTTAAGCAAATCTGGATCCCGGGTTGGCTTCAAATTACTTTCAGCTCAGCCCTTTCAAGCAATGTTTGTTACTGACATTTCCACAGAAGTGGCCAAAATGAGACTGTCACTTGAAAGTAATTCCCTGACCACAGAGCAGGCCTAAAAACGCTGCGTGGACTGCCTCTTTGAGTCAGTTGTCAGATGCCAGAGTTATTCTGGGAATAGAAGCCCGAGGCACAGCCCTGTAGAAATACTCCAGGGTCTCCTGTTGGCTTGGCAGAGCAACGTACACCCAAAGCCAACAGCAAACCACAGGATGGCTGCCTGCAATGCTTCCTCTCCATCTCGTAGGGATATTAACTTAAGGAGTAATGACTAGAGAGTTTTAAAAATACCCTGTAGAGCAAATCCTTTCCTTTAAAACAGTAATACCACGTCACCTGCAAGAAAGGATCTTGTCACCTCTGCTTCTGTCTAACACCGTGCACACAGGAAAACTTCAAAGCGATGTCTTATGTTATCTGACAGAGATTTTCAGCATCAGGAAAGTCCAACATGACGCCGAAAGACAGTCTGAACGCTGTCTTATGTAGGACACTAGGCAGGAGCATCTCTCTTCCACATCTGATATGTACAGGAACTTCAGTGCTGGGCTATGCTGTGGCCTCACCAAAACTCCAACATGCTGGGTTCCGAGGACTGCTGCTAACCATGCTCAAGAGCACACAGCAATACACTCCACAGCAGTTACATGTTGTATGTTTTCTTAGTCAGCTTGATAAATACTAGAGAGACTCAAAGTCCAAAACACTGTCATAATCAACTGCCACAGAGTCATTGAACACAATGCCCTGCAGGATGCAGCCTCTGGCTTCTTTCTCCCATTTTAAAGATTCTCATTCACACACACTTATTCATCCATTCTCATTGCCATTCATTCATTCGTTCATTCATTCATTCATTCATTCATTCAATCTCATCATTCTCATATTCATTCATTCATTCTCATTTTAATTAACTCATTCATTCACATATCCATTCATTCATTCTCATATTCATTCATTCATTCATTCATTC